GTGTGTGGGTGAGTGTGAACCTGCTGGGTCGCAGAGGGTTCCGCTCTGTCTCGGGTTAGGTCAAGGGAGGCTGGGCCAGGGTAGGAGGGGCCCTGGTCCCAAGTCCCTCGGGGTTGCTGCTTTGTTGGAAACAGGGTCACGCACAGGAGGCAGGACGTGAGGATGGAGCTACAAGCCACGCAAGGCTACGAAACCCCGTGGCTCCAGCCACTGAAAAAGACAAGGAAGTGCCTGCTCCTTTCTTTCCCTAGAGCCAGCAGAAGATAAATAGATAGACGGATGATAGATAAGATAAATGATAGACAGATAAGATAGATGATAGGTAGATAGATAGATAGATAGAGAGAGATAGATAGGATAGATGATAGATAGATAAGATAGATGGTAGGTAGATAGATAGATAGAGAAATAGAGATAGATAGATAGATAGATAGAAGGCACGCCTTAGTGCATATTCTGCCGATGCAATGGATTTGGACTTCAGAACGGACACACTAAACCCCTGCTCTTTAAAGTCACTGCTTCGTGGCATTTTGTCACAGCGGCCTCAGACTAAGAGGGCACATTCTGCCCCCAGCGCCGCCACTCACCTGCCCCACACAGCAGTGCTGCCGCACAGCAGGTGCCGGAAGAGAGCCAACTGACTAAGTGAACCCACGGATTCCCACTTCATCCACAGTGACTGGAGCCCCGGGGTGTGGTGGGCTAAGGGCTGTAAGGCTGGCAGGGCAAAGGCACCCGCCACGTGGAGGGAGACAGAGGGGACAGAGTCTGATTGACAATCTTGGAAGTGCCCTGGTGCGGTTCTACGCTGTCTGTCGTGAGTCGGAGTGAGCCGGCTGCCCGTTGTGAGACAAGCCACAGTGGTGCTGGAGCAGAGGGTGGTGGGTGGGTGGGTGGGTGGGGGGTTGTCAAGAAGGCAGACGGTGGGGTGCGAGGGCGCTGAGCCCCGAGGGAGAATGTGCCCTGAATGAATGGCATGTGCGGATGCTCCCCCTGGTGGCAGTGTCAAGAAGAGGGAGCAAGAGCAGACAGCAGGGGAAGGTGGCTTCCCTTCTCGGGCTCCCCCCTCGCGCCCCCAGCCACGTGTGACTTACGAGGGCCGGGCCCACGGCGATCCCTCACGAAGACCACAGTAACCGGCAGGGTAAGGGCTTGGCTGGTCATAGGACTCGCAAAGGTCAGGACAGCGGACAGGGGCCCTTGGCTGCCGGCTGCCGGGTCGGCGACGCTGACCGTGTATGTCATGAAGCTGGGCAGTCCAAGCGACTTCTCCTTCACGAAGGCCAGCACGGCCGGGGAGCTGGACTTCACCTGGGGACGGGCAGTGCCCGGGGGAGCGGGAGGGCGGGCGGGTGCTAGTGAGGCCACACACCCCTGGGGAAGGGGGCTGCCTTCCCCCCAGGGCCCAATGGGCCAGGACCAGAGCCCTGCTTCCCAGGAGCACGGTCCCACTCTGTGGGCAATTC